CAGGCCGTAATAGAGCAATAAACCGTCCGCTAATGATGATGAGCATGAACGTTAAGCAATGCCTTTAATCTTGGTTATTATTATTATTATTATTATTATTATTACGTAAAATAGAGAAGTCGCTAAAAATATCTGAAACAAATCTTTTGTGTTTGCCATGTTCTTTTTTGATAGAGATTTTGAATAACATTTTATTTACTATAATAATATGGATTTCAATTTTTTACTGTAGTTGTCAGTTTCAAGCAGGCGAGTGTTTGAGAGTATTCTAATATGTATAATTCAATTTTCACTAAAGTATCGTGGGTTCACAAAGCTTGTGATTTCTTAAAAGCTCTGCCAACGAAAAAAAATATGGTAAAAGATGATGATTCCCACATTTTCGACCGCATTTTAGTGCTAATGTATGAAACTTCTTGAACTAGCAGTTCCCAAATAGATGGTTAGGACGAGGAAACAATTGTCTACAAAAATTGGCCTCCAAGATCACCAGATTTGAATAAATGTGATTTCGTTCTCTAAGGGGCCTAAAAATAATTTGTTTATTTTAGACCGGTTGTACCTGTTTTTCAAAATTTAACACGTATCTTCAGAGGCCAATATCTTGTCAACGGTACATCACAGAAAAAAAATTACATTACAAATCGGCATATTTTAAGATCCTCTACACGTGCCTGCTCTGTGTCGGTAGAGTTATGCACAGAAGGTACAGTCCCTATGATATTTGTTGAGATAGAATTCTAGGATCCCTGTGTCACTTTCTTGGAATTAACCGCATTCGACAGCTGATGTAGAAAGACACTGGCATGGCGAAAAATTTCAAGGCACACCCCTGCCGCGGTAAATTGTTACAGTAGTTCTGATAACAGAACTTTATTGGCTTATTCTTTTCATGGAAGCGAAATGTTTTAAGGATATATTTCTTACGTTGGCATTTCCGTCGTAAAAATTTGCCGTCATTGCAATTACGTTCGACAGTTACTCTACAGATGTATGAACAAAATATGTTTCAAATAGTAAAGAAAATGGAAAGTTTGGAACACATTTCTCTGCAAAACAAACTTTCAAAGAAACTTCATCAAACTTTTACTGAAATAAACCGCGTGTCTCGATACAACGTGAAGCCAGTCGAAGCTCAAAATAATTCTATCCCAAACAAGGAACAACTTACTGGGCCTGTCGTTTTCGGTGTCACCGCCCTCCTCGTCAGAGTTTCTGTGGTGGTGCTTGTGGCGTCGGTGCGAGTGACGCCGCTCTGAGGGTACGTGAACGCCGACGAAAACGCTGTGAGCTCGGTGACCTGAATCAGAGTGGATGGAATTATCTATAGTACACCATATAAATCGCTGTTCTGCGAATATCGAATCATGCCATGCGAAAGCACTTTTGTTTTTTTGAGGCGTTGACGGTAATTTTCTAGGAGCGGTCTTGTAATCTAAGCTACAGTGCAAGGGTGCTGCTAGCAAAGTAGGGGAAAGGTTCCTGAATTGTATTTTGTGTATAAATGTGTATTCTTGCCTTATTGCTCTTAAGCAGCATATCAGATAATAATAAATTAGTGCTCGTTTGAGTTTAAACAAAAGCTGTTTATGTGAATAAAAATATATAAGCACTATACAAGGTGTTTTTTAAAAATTGCGCAAAATTTTAAGGAGATGTTACACTAAAAGAAATGGACTTATTAAATTGTTTCTTTAGAATAATGTGTATAACGCATATTAAAACTTTTATAACAAATATACAACTTTAAAAAAAATCGCTCATCTCCATACTCATTATTTAATGAGTTTAACTGGAAGGTGCTTAATACACCTTATGCATCTATGAATTACTTATATATTATTAAGTGTTATCGGCTTTATGTTCCAATTGTATAGTAGGGAAGATTTGTTGCAAAGACCAGTATCCGAATTTGTATATAACAATTGTATTAACAGAATTATTCGTTTTGATAATGATTATGTTTCCGTTTTTAACGTGAAAACCGCGTCTTAATAATGGTTAAATTAACGTCACCTCTCGGTGCATAATCGGTTATGATCGTAAAATTTCCGACAGTCCGCTGTGCATCAACTATACCTACACTTCTAGTTTGATGAAAATAAACAGTATAGGCACATGTTTTGTGGGATACATGATCATATTGCGTTGTGTGGAATGGAAACTTATGTATCTAACTGCTTTATGGTTTGTAATCGTTTTGCTTTTTCAAATGTAAATCTTTTCTAAATCTTAAAAATTATTATCTTATGTATCCTATTAGAAACCGCTGATGTTAAGCTGTACATAAGATGAAGGAACAGAAGGCTACCGGTGACAAAGAAGAGCATGTCAATCAACCAGAAGAAATAGAATTAGAAGAAAAGAAGCTCAACCTTTCAGGGGATGCTTGGAAGAGTTATAGTGCAAATTCTCATTTAATACAAGAAAATACGGGTACATCGTTACTGAGAAAATAAACTGGACAGTTTTGGGAGCGATTTATCATCATTTTTAATACTTAAATGCTTGTTATATATTTACATTAGAACCTCAGCTTGTAATTACAGTTATACAATAAAATTTCTGAAAACTGAACATCATATATTTTTAACTCATACAGAGTATACAACAGTTTGATATATTTAATATTATAAAACTTATAATTAGTACTAGATGCTCTAATAACGATATGGAACACTTTAATAAGTTATTGCTATCATTTCGTAAAGGGTATAAAAAGCGTTGTATACTAGTTATACAATAATTTAATAAACAATACGGTTTATAGTCACTATACAACTGTGTTAGGAATACGCGTTTTATATCCAATATTCACCTGTTTATCTGTCACATATAGTATACAATGGTCTTATACTATATATGTAGAATAAAGCGCATTTATTTCAGTGCACTTGCCAAAAAAAATAAAAGGGGATCTTGTACATAAAATTTTCCAAAAACATTTGTTATCGGAGTTGCACTCCTTTAAGGGGTAGGTTAAACTTCAGTTTTTGTTTTATTTCTCACAATTGGAGAAACATAGAAGAATGCAGTTTTGAATGTTACTTCTACGACTTTTGAAAGGGATTAAAAATTGTAGCTATTAACATTTTTATTAAAAAAGAAAGTACATATGTATAATAAAAAACATTAGAAATAGATGGTGTACAGATTAGTCTTTATTTAAGACTGATAAGAACTGTTTTTTTACCGCTTTTTTGTCTTTTTCTAAATAACTGTTTATCAAGGATTTGCGAAAATAATACATACTGTGTTTTTGTGTACAACTTACGGTCTTTAAAATGGTAAATTACACAAATAGTGAAACACTTCGTTTATGGTCTTGCTAACGGAAATATTTTAGCAGCCCGCCTTTATGAAGTACGTTATGTGATGTTTATATCAGCGACTTAGTGAAACCGAGAGTTTTACAAAGATAATTCTGAAAATGGGCATCCTCAAACAGTTATTCCTTGAATGGAAGAACATGTGCTTAAAGAAACCAAGCTCCACAACAAGTATTAAGAAGATTGTTCGCATATTAGATATTAGCCTCTCACCAGTTTGGAGGATCCTTGAATATTGTCTTTTGTACCATTATTACATTCGGCGTGTACACATGCTTTTACCTGATGATTTTCCACATAAAGTGACTGTGTACCTACGGATTGCAGAAATAATAGGGCACAATGCTTACCGATGAGGCTAACTTCTCTAGGGATAACATAATATATTTTCTTAACAATCGCCTATGGTCGCATATGCGCTTTTAGAATACCGTCATCAAATTCACCAGATTTCCCCTCAACATCTGATTGAGAATTGTCGGAGACTTAATGATTGGCCTATTCCTTCTTCTGGATAGGTTGATTGGAGAAATTTATTGCAAATTTCTTGATGAGGATTTGCCAACATTCCTTGAAGGAATATCTATGCTGTTAAGGCAATGGTGTTTATGCATGGCGATGCTCCAGCCCATTTCAGTTTGAGTATTTAGATGTTGCATATCCAAATCTCTGAATGACTAGAGGAGGAGCACAACCTTGGTCTATACGCTCCATATACTTAAATCCTCTCGGTTTCTTTCTCTGATGATATATTAAATAATTGACTTATACGTCTTGAATTGAAATTACAGAATCAAATTATCGCGTTGTATGGGACAATTCAAAAGACTTCAAACATTATTGCATGTTTTCGTCAATCAATGCGTCGCGAAAGAAGCTTGTAATGAAATTGAAGGTCGTCATTTCCAAAATTTTTGGAAATTTTTTCAATATTTTGTAAAAAAAAGAACGGACCATTTCAGTGAACAAATGCAAACCATAAATAAGTTTTTCACTCCGAAACTAAACATGGTTGCTGTAGGATGAAACATTACAATAAATATTTGATTCCACAGTTAAACAGAGGAACGAAAATTACTTTGTAAATGTATTTTTCTATTTTTGTACCCATAGCTTTCAAATAAACCCAATTAGAAGTATTTTTTTAAAAAAATCTCAAAAATTAGCAAAAATATTTCCGGTTCCTCTTCGAGAAATTAATGCAACCTAGATTGGTCAATTTTGTTATATAGTCTGTTTGGAAATGAAAGAGAGTAATAAAACCCAGAGATAAGAACCGGCCATGGGCGTGGTAATATTTCGTTTCAGGTAATTATCGGGTACCACTAATGCTAACAAAAATGACGGATTGGAAAATCGACTATATACAGACTTTTAAAGGAAACAAAAAATTAACAAGATACTGTAAATTACTCAAAATCATCTACAGGGAGGTCAAAAGTCGTTATAGATGATTTCTTCAAAAATGTCATTCGCAGAAAAGTATACTCATTTTATTTTAAAAAAGAAATACCAACGCTAAACAAAATTTTAAGTGAACTTTCAGAGGACAACGATTTGCCAAAAATCAGTAGAAGCAAATTATGGGCCGTCTTACGAGAGTTGAATTTTTGCTGGGAAAAGCAGAACAGGAAGTCAGTTCTTATCGATAAAGATGAAATTATTTGTTGGCGAAGATCCTACTTAAGATCAATTAGAAAATTCCGTGACGAAGGGAGGAATATTTATTATCTAGACGAAACTTGGGTCAACGAGGGATATACTGTAACAAAAGTATGGCAAGATAAAAATGTAAAAAGTTTTCGACAAGCATTTTTGGATGGACTTTCAACAGGGTTCAAGGCACCTTCAGGTAAAGGGCGAAGATTAATAGTGACACATATAGGTAGTGCCAGTGGTTTTGTAGATGGCGGTTTACTTTTATTTGAATCTAAAAATACAGGTGACTATCACGAAGACATGAACGCAGATGTTTTCGAAGAGTATTTTACACAGATGTTGGATCTTATTCCTCCGGGGTCTGTAATTGTCATGGATAATGCCAGTTACCATTCACGGCAGACCGAGCGGACGCCTACGACTGCTTGGAGGAAAGCCGATATAATTCAATGGTTATCCGGAAAAAACATTTCTTTTGAAACAAATATGGTGAAAAAGGAACTTTTGACACTTGTCAATCTTAATAAAGATCAGAAAAAATATGTTATCGATGAAATGGCAACAAATCGCCAAATAACGGTACTACGGTTACCACCTTATCACTGTGAACTTAACCCAATCGAATTAGTCTGGGCGCAGGTAAAAGGAGATGTAGCGCGAAATAATACGACGTTTAAATTAAGTGACGTGAAAATTTTGTTAAAAAATTCCTTGGAACGAGTAACTGCAGATAACTGGCAAAGATGTATACATCATGTACAAAAAGAAGAGGAGAAAATGTGGGAACTCGATAATTTAATTGACGTTACTGTGGAACCTATCGTTATCAATCTAGGAGACGAAGATAATTCATCAGAATATTCAGAGGATGAATTTTAATATACCTACTTTTTTATTTTCTTTATTGTACATTTATACAACACTACATTTACTCACCATAATTTGAATTTTCAAAATACATATATTTTTGTGTGGAATAAAAGTCTATTCATTAAATTTAAATAAATATTTTGATAATAATATTGAATAATTTTATTTGAATTACTAAAAACCCTCTTAACCCGGTTATGATGCTTAAAGTAGCCTCATGTTTTGAAATGCTGTTTTTATATTGTTTACTTATAAGAGAAATGGACCGAGAAATTGAAGCGGCATAGACAAAGACGGATTGTCGGGGATTAAATTTTAGCTACCTGCTACAATTTAGTACAGTCCGATCGCACAAAGTTTTTTTAAAAGTACACCTCATCTATACCGATAATACATAATATAAAAATATTGAATATAAGCACCAGTACTACATTTATTTACG